TCGGTGACGTGGTGTTTACATTCCAGCTGAGGGTGTCTGTGATGTGCTCCCCCACGAATTTGGTGCTGTTAACCACCTCTACTGCTGAGCTGTTGATGTGCAGTGAAGTGTGGTTAGGTCGTTTCTTCCTGAAGTCCAAGATGATCTCCTTCCTCTTCTCCACGTTCAGGATCAGGCTGTTAACTTTGCACCAGTCCAACAGCTGCTCCACCTCCTCTCTGTAGTTCCGGTCGTTGTCGTCTCTGATGAGGTCCACCACCGTGGTGTCGTCTGCAAACTTAGCGATGTGATTGGTGGTGAACCTGGGGACGCAGCCATGTGTCATCAGGGTGTCATTAGGACGCAGCCCTGAGGGGAGCCTGTGCTCAGGGTGATGACATCATAATTCTCTGGAGATGTATGGCTTATTGTTAGGATAGATTGTAATAATCTTATTGGTGGCCACACAATCCACACAGATTTGAACATACTCTGTTAATTCATCAACACCCAAATCATGAAAAATGTGCCAATGAGCCCTTCAGTGTCTCTATTCTGTCTTTAGACCACACAGTTAATGGTCTTAGTTAATGGTTTACTGCTCTTTAGAACAGCCTTATAGGTGGGTATCAGACTGCATTATGATCTGAGTCTGAGACGGCTTTGAAAGGCCCTGCATGCACGTCTGTATGGTGTGCGTAGTTTAAATTCATTAGGGTGCTTTTCATCTGCATGTTTTCAGCTGTTTCAGACTGGGTGTATTTCAATGCAAAAAGGATGTGTGTTGGTACTGGTAATAGACTGACTTACTCAATATTGGAGAAAAGAAAAAACCTTAAGAGTCTTTATTTTCTTCACTAGTTATCCATCTTGCAACATTATCCCATATATATTGGATTCCTTTTTAATATCTTAAAGGAAGTGTTGTGTTGTGAATGTTGTAACCATACAGAACGGGTAGTTGCAATGTCCCTGATACGGTTGAACCTGCTACTCGGTACCTTAAAGAGCTCAGAATGTGAGGCTGGTGGAGGCGTTACGACTCGTGACCTGGAGCCTCTTCTCCCTGGCTGCTGCGCTGACAAGCAACGCCTCCACTGCTCTGTCATTTTCCAGATAACACTCGCTGCCTCAGTGTCACGTCTGTCCAGCACCTTGTAAAAGCGGGACATGATAGTCGAGAAGGTCAAAATATAACAAAGAGGCCCCCACGTCTTTCTGCCTGCCTGTGGAAGAGTTCACAGGCAGTCATTTCCTGTTGACTTAGAAATTCAGTTTTCCATCTCAGGATTGATCCTTCTTCTAGGAAAGATAAACCAGCATGGGGGAGATACTTGGACATGTTGGTTATTAAAAATTTGCTTAATTTACTAATTTTATGAAGACGCCTTATAAAATGTAGAAATTGCTGCTTATTTACCGGTTGTAAAGAACTAGTGGCTTGTTTTTTCCGCTGGCAGGAAAAGCGGGTCTGAGAGAGGGGGAGAGATATGCGGCAAAGGACCACAGGTCAGATTGGAACCTGGGTCGGCCACGTCAAGAACTAAGGCCTCCATATGTGAGTTGTGTTTGCTAACCGCTGCTCCTCCGAAGCGTGTCCCTACTTATTCATCTTTCCTGTAACCTTGAAGTTCTGCTTATCAGGGCTGGTCTGCAGCTGTAAATCTTTCCTGGGGGAAACATCGGCTGCTATCATAGCCAGTAATGTGATGTTCTCTCAATGGATGCTGCACTATCATCCATATACAAAGCAATTGGGTGAACTACTGTCACCAGTAACTCTTATTAACTTTCTTAATGCATGAAAAGTTCCTTTTGGTAAATGTGCTTACTTGTATAAAAAAAACATCTGCTTAAACTGTAGCTTAGTTGCCTCAGAAGGCCGCTCAGTGAGCCTTTCTGCTGAGGGTTTCTTATAAGTGGACCTTTCCTCTCCACTGCCACTACAACGCAGGCTGAGTATGACGTATCGCTGCAGTCCATCATATGGAAAACCTTCTCCCAGCCTGCAGATTAACTGAACCTGAAGAGAAGCAATTAGAGGTTGATTTTGAAGGCAATAGGGTTAACATTTATGTATGGTTATTTTTGTTCCATCAATGTTGTTAAAAACACATTTTGAAAAAATTGAAATTTGGAAGAAAAAAAAAATGCAATCCAGAAGTTTAACTTTAAAAACAATACTTCTCTTCAAAAAAAATTTTAGAGTTTGTTTTTCTAGTCTCCATTAAGGCCTGTGAAATCCAGCATCATAATTAAAACTAACACTGCAAGATATTCAGCTATTAAAACCTTTATTTTACAACAGATGAGCAAAAACAGAAAATTTCTATTTCATGGGAATTTATACAAAAGAAAAAACTTAAACTTAAATGTCAAGAATTGATTCGGCATGAGGAATATTCGTGAAAATATTTTGATATAGAAGGGTTTAAAAAAAAAGAAAAAGACTGATTATAAAAAATATCTAATTCATTTATTAAGCCATGTTTCATTTCATAGAAAAATGCAATGTTAACTGACCCCATTGGAGGGGGGGGACTAAAATATATTCTAAAATCTCACAAATGTATGCACAATATTACATTTTTTTCTTATATTTCTTTTAAACTGCTAAAGTAAATTTAATATTGTGTTATTCTGCAGATTTACATTTAAGGCCCTGAAACCTTCAAAAAGAAAGAAAAAAAAAAAGTCCTGTAACTACTGTTCAAACTGCAGCAATCACCTTTACTAGGTTTATAAAAAAGTGCATTTTTGAAGTGATTTATTTTTTATAACAAAGAACAATGAACCAAAACTGAAAATTATAATCCAACTGCTTTTGGCATTTACATAATCATATTTAGTTACTTCAACACAATTATTTTATGTCCTACCCTGCTAACATGAAACAATTGTGTTGAAGTAACTAAATATGATTAAAGAAATACCAAAAGCAGCTGCAATATTTTTTTTCAGTGAAGGGAAAGAAAAAAAGTGATAAAGTTTTTTTTATTAATCTAAAGCAACAAGTTTAAAACATGAGCTGAAAGAATACAAATGAGTCTGGTTAGAAAAAAGGAAATCATTTATTAAACATAACCATATCGGCAGAACAGCCAACACACATAGCATCGGATTCAGGTCACAATCACTCACTTTCACTATATACAGATAGGCACATTCACATTAGGCGTTAAAGCCAGCCACAGCGGGTACTGTAGGTCCAAACCAGTGGCAGGTTTGGTTGTTGCCTCAGTCCAGCAGGGAAGAATAAAACTAAACATTTTCAGTCTGGTTACTGGTTTCCTCTGGTCCAGCGTCCGTTCACCTGGAGAATGTAAAAGTTTGGGTTTGAAGCTGCATGGGGACACCGGACCTTTAATTCACCACCGTAATGTGCTCACTGCAAATTCATGGGGTCACCAGAACAGCGGTGAGCCGTTCTGCAGAGGTCACAGTCCGAGCGACGCAGTGATTAGGGAAACACACACAGCATGTCCAAGTCTAAAAGACTTTAGCTCCACAAAAAGAAACCAAACAAATCTGAGCAGTTTGTGTGAAATAATACATTTACAAAAATCTTTATAAGTAGAAAAAAAAAAAAACTTACATGGACTAAACTCAACTGTTTAATTTGATGAGAACACAAATATTTAACCAAAACTGCTACAACTAAAGCTTTAACTTTGCAGTACTAGACTATAAAAACAGGGGAAGAGGACACTTGCAAAGAAGTGCTACGTATTCACACTATCCGCATCCTTTATGCTCAACAGGATCATTCGCTGCAGGAAGGCGGCGAATAATCAACAAAGACGAGAAAGAAATGTCAGCCACAGAAATCCATCATACAAAAAGGAAAATGGAATAAATTAAGAGTCAAAGAGGTTTGGATCAAACCTCTATTGATGTGTAAAATAACAGACCTGCCTCTGATTTTTTTTTTTTATGCATAAATGGAAAGGTCTGGGTTTAATCCTCTGATAACGCTACAGATCAGGAGTGAAGGTTCTGCTGACGTCCAACAAGGACGCAGCATGTTAGACAGGGCGGTCAGATCTGAGCAAAAAAAAAACAAAAAAAAAACGGCTGCATTCTGTCCTGAGGTCGGACCCAGACGTAGCCACACAGCAGGGTGGAACGAGGCGCAGCAGAAAGCGGGACGGTAGGAGGGAATTAAGGCAGCCTAGTTGATTGAAAGCTTTAAAGATAACACCTGGAAGAGAATCCAGAGTGAAGGAAACGTTTGACAGGAAAAGCAGAAATTTTTCTTTACCTTGGAAAAAAAAACTGACCTACAAAGATGTACAGAACTTAATCAAATGGGTCTGAATGCGCTTAAATTGGTATGGATCTAACCACGTTTATTTTAGCTAGCTGGAAAACCACATGGAGACTCATACTGGTTATTAAAGGATGAAAATAAATCATAATTTAAGTATAGCCCAGGTCCTAGGAACAAACATCAAGATGTTTAACAGAAAATATATCCAGGTGGCGCAGACAACTATGTGTGGAAACCATTGCTAAGAAGTTGTCGGCCATTTTTTCTTTTGGATTGGTGAATAATTTAAAAGAAAAGGCTTTTCAGCAGCTCTGGCATCTTAAAATTAGGTGTGAGACTTTAGTTAAGACCAGAGATGAAGACAGAAAAAAAAACAACAAAAAAAAAACATTTATCCTTATGGGATCGGCTACAGAAGGAAATGACAGAAATGTACCAACCCTGGTTAATGCAAGCAAGGAGAAGCAGAAATGCTAAACCAGCTAGCTTAGATAATAAAGACTGATTAAAAGGTCAGTGAAATGTTGAAACACAAAGGTAGAAATAAAATAACTGACTAATCTGAAGAATGAGACTGCTTAATCTGAATATATTGAGTAATAAAAAAAAATGCTTTTTAAATGGCATGTTACATTTTCAGGTGTGCAAAATATTTGGGTTTTTTTTTTCCAAAAAATTAGCTCCATCATTCCCTAAAGCAGAACAAGATCCTTACCTTTTTCCTGTTTTCTACCAAATTCTTAAAAGCAATTGTCAGCAATTCTACTTTTTAGTACTAAAAGAGATTGGACAACTAATTAAATTTTGTGCAGGTGGATCAGAGCTTCCAAAAATAGGGAGATTTTGGAAATTGACCAAGATATCTGATCAGTGCATTTCTAACACATCTAGATAAATACAGGTTTCTAAACAGCTGATAGATTAGATTGTGTTTGAGTACTTATATGTGGATATATAGTTTATTACTGTCCAACCATTTCTAAGGCATCCTGGGTTTGGATAACCTGAACAATCCCTTGTTTTTCTGTATTGACGATCGAGCAGGAAGTGGATTCCAACTATAAGTGCGTCCATGTTTTCACCATGTGGGATGAAAGGAATACCTTAAAATAAAAACAAAACCTCCAATGAATAAAAATAATGTATGGAATTAATGCTTTAATTGATGCAATTCTCTCCTTCATAGAAAACAGCGTGCAGTGTGCCGGCCCTCACAGACGAGCTGAACGTCAAACGTCTCACACTAAGAACTAAACTTCTTCCAGACGCGTTACCCTAATGAACTTAAAACACGGTGGATTTTTTGGTTTTCATTTCAAGAACAGATTTCCTGGTGGAACAGTTGATATCACCTAGTTTCAGGCTGCAATACTTTCTCCACTTTTCTGTTGCCTTTTTATTTTTTTTAATCTTTTTAAACCGTTTTTCTCTCTTGTACTGAGAAGTGTTTCCTTCTGTTTTTTTCCAATCAAGTAACAGTGAGGAGGACGTGGATGTGAAAGTGTTTTGAATCTATTAGTGGTGACTAGGGGGGATTACTGATATCTCTTTGTCCAAGCTGTGGGTTTGAGAACTGAAATCTGTATTTCAGATTCCTTCAAATCCACGCCATCCTTGACATTTCTGGGTGCGTTTCCGCCTCCATCTTCCATCTTCCTTCTTTGTCCTTCGCCTTCCTTTTCCTCCAGCTTCTAAAACCAAAAGCTTTTTCCTCTGAATTAATTTTTGAGGCAGAAGTTACAGTCTGGGCTGCTTTTCACCTCCACTGTAAGCATCCTCTACTTGCAGTGGGTGTCCCTCACCAGGAGGAAACAATAAGTCACAAGAGTCGGTGAAGAGATGAGGATAAAGACAGCTGAAGGGGGAAAACATACAACTAGATTATCCTAAATGTTCCTCTCAGGTTCTACGAAAAACAGTCTAGGCCGGTGCTACTCTCCTCCGTCTTCTTCACCGCGGCTGTCCTCTTCCTCATCTTCCTCCAGGAGTGGCTTGTCTGTGTAAATGTCTCTGACCAGGAGGACTCTGGTCAGGAGGCTTTCTAGGATCTGGCGCTCCAGGGGAGTGGAGCTGAACCACACGGGGTCAGCGGGGCTGCAGGTGGGATCGGGCTGAACGTAGAAGACGTCGAGGCGCTCCCACAGCAACGGTGGACTAGGAGGAGGAAGGAAAGGGAGCAAAGAAGGGAGTAGCAGACAGGGAATAAGATTTGAGCAAAAGAAGCAAAGGAGGAGAAATAATGGGATAAGAAAAAAGAAAGTGTGAATATTTCACCAAAAATTAAGAAAGTTTAAATAAAGTTGCGCTTTAAGTCCTCATCTGTAATCAGTCAACAGTAAAGTTCAGGATGTGAACAGCAAAGAGTTCTAATCACAGGACTTTAGAACCATTCTAATAGCAGCAGAACATTTGCATATCCAGTCTGATTTTCCCTCTTTTTATTTCTGTTTTGAACAATAAATAAATAAAAACCAGGCTGAAGCAATTCGATTAATTTCTTGGCAATTGACTGTTAAATTTTTAACTGGAGTATATATTGTATAAAGAAAAAAATGGTATGTAGTGGAAAAAATAAAAATTCAATCAGGAAAACATTCAATCTTTAGGGAATCTGTATTATATGAAAAAATATAATTAGTTTTATCATATATATTAGTTTCATTTATAAATTAGCTTTAAATTATTTAAGTGGAGTTAACAAATGTCCTCTTTAAAGCCTTTAAAATGTGCGACCACTGGTGCCTGCAGGGTGCTTGCTAGGGTTGTCAAAAGTATCGATACTCAAAAAAGTATTGTAAAGTACTGAAATGTTGTATCCGGATACAATACTCATTTTCAAAAGTATCGAGTACCAGTGGCACCTAAACAGTCATTCATCTAAAGTGCAGAATAGAGGACAATGCACTTTCAGAACACTGTGTGATTGACTAATTCTGTGCACTTTTTTAAGTTTCAGACTTTTTTTGTAACAGGTGCAGCTGCTGAGAATTATTTTTGGTTCTTAACCAGTTTGACTAGTGTCATTGTTATGTGTGCAAAGCATAGCCAAGGAAGGAACACTTAATTTTAATTTTTTAAGTTTTTTTTTATCAAGCTTGCTAAATACGACGCGCAACAAACAACCTTAAAATGTTGTTCTTATTGTTTATTGTATTTATTTATTTATTGTATTTTAATTCTTAATCAAAATATTTCTGTTTAAATTTAGAAATGTTATCCTTGTGGTATCGAAAATGGTATCGAGTATCGAGTTGAAAAATTTGGTATCGTGACAACCCTAGTGCTTGCTCAAATTCAACTTTAACTCACATTTTCTGGTGATGTTGCTTTAGGCTTTATCTCAAACTTTTATAGATATCAGAATTTTAAAATCTTTAACAAGAGTATTTTTCTATCCTACAGTTTTCTATGATTTTAAAATCGCTTTAAAGTAGGATTAGTATTTCTTTTTGCACAAATGTCAGCTGGAAAACTAGCAAAAAAAAAAAAAAAAAAAAAAAAAAAAAAAAAGCAATGAGAGGGAGATAGTTGCACTAGAAGAGGAAAGAAGCATATTTACCATTTGGATCTATAGAGCTCATAGAGACGACACTCGTGCTTCTTTACCGGGCAGTGAACAGACGAGCCCCCCGAGCCCTCGTTTTCCTCCTCTTCTTCTTCGTTTAGCTTACGCTTCCTCTTCCTAGATGCTGTCGGTACGTCTCCTAAACATTTAGAGTAAAACATCCATCTTGAGGAAATGTTGTGAAATATTGAAATTAGACTTCCAGTTATTTAAAAGATTTAAATACATTTATTTCTGAAAATAGTAACAAAACTCCTCCCAAAAACCAGAGGTCTCTTCCATTTTTTTTTATATTTAAGTTGCAGAAAACATTCCTTAACAGCAAAATACAGCCTTTAACTTAATTCTAGCAGTTGATGTATTTTAGTCCGTGCCAAATGTTTAACCATGAAATTTCCGTTTTTTCCTCTACTAAAAACATTTACTCTAATTATCAATGTAAAGTGAGGCTTAAGACAAAGTAAAATTGGAAATTTTTTCCTCAGTGATCTCAATCTTAGTGGAAGGCAGAGAAACCTTAGCTTCTGCTATAAAAAAAAAAAAAACACATTAAAATATTCTTCAAAGCGAAAAAGGCCAAAGTAAGATAAGATCCGACTAAAACAAAGTTATAACAAATCAGAAACAAGCAGCCTAGCTTTAATTTGGAAAAGGAAACTAATCTCTAACTTCCAAGAAATGGGGGAAAAAAATCAACCAGTTTTAGGGGAAGCAGCAGGATCTCTGGATTTCAAATCCATCAATGTTTCCAGACTTACTGTGGTGATCCTGAGAGATGGAGGGAACCCGGATGCAGACGCTGCTCTCCTTGCTGACAGGATGGATGGTGTCCGGCCCGTAAACGTTAGCGAAGGAGAGACGCAGGTGCTGTTCCACCGTGCGCAAGCCAAAGTATTTAGTGTTCAGGTAAACCAGAGAGCGTAGCAGGGAGGCTGGACTCTGCTCCCCGAGGTGCTGGCCGCTCCACAGGCTCTGCTCCTCCACTCGACCCCACAGCGAGCCTGAACAAAGCACATCATGTATGTAATCACCCCATCACATGATTACAGTGTGGCACTGCCTCAGCTAAAAGCTCCAACTCCTGCATGTCCTCATATAACTTTAAAAATGCAATCACAGAGCATCAGGATGTGAACAGCAGAAAGGTTATAATCACTGGACATGTGTGCTGGCAGCAGCAGACAGGCCAACATTCAATCACACCCTTGTCCTCCATGTTGCCACTTCACTGTGTCATTATGTTATCAGTGAGAGGTGATTTGGTTTCCAGCCGCAGCAATGAGATGCAGCTTCACATGTTTAACTGATAGCCTCAAGCTTATTGTTTAATTCATTACATGCTTTTGCCATCAGTATTTAGAAAAACTAATATTTGAAGTGAATCTTGTGTCTGGCTGCTCTTACCATCAGGAAGCACGCTGGGCTGCCAGTCTTTGAGCACCTTGTTGAGCTCCTCTCCAAACTGCTGGTAACAGGGGTCACCGAACAGATCATCCTTCCGGCCTTTGGCATGAAGATGCTTTAAAACAAACACAAAAAAAAAAAAACCGAATTGGTTCAGCAGACAAAGTTGGGTTTTCTAAGGGCGCGTGGAATTAATTAAGATTTGGTGTCCTCATATTAAAGATCAGCATCACAGTTTTTCAGGATGTGAACAGCAATAGATATAATCCCTGGACACAGCAAAGATAACGAACACAGATTTACATTCAGGGCATATTTTAAACAAAAGGGGAACCGCAGCTCCTTGAATGGCGTTCCAAAAAAAAAAAAAAAACACGTTTTAAACTCAAAGAAAACATTTTAAAACCGTGAATTAAGTAAATTCTTACATTTCTCTGGCGGAAAATGAGATTATCTCACGAGTTTGGAGGGATATTTGCTCCTCGCTGCAGCCACGCTCTGTCCTCACGTGGATGAGGGAGGGAAAAGGACCGCGCACCGAAAAAAACGTTCCTACTAGAAACACCAACTCTAAACTTGGTTCCTACCTCCAAAAATAAAAAGGCAACGAAATCCTGAGCTTGTTCATGATGCACATTTGTTATAATTTGTAGAGTTAGTTTTTCTTTAACTTCGTTTAGTTTATACAAGTTTCTCTATACTATAGTAAACGTTTAAGCTAAAAAAAACATTTTCACCTATGATTCATTATACCAAATTATGTAATAATCAGAGGTGTCAAGTAATGAAGTACAAATACTCCATTACTGTACTTGAGTACAGTATAGGTATGTATACTTTACTCCATTACTTGTTTTTCTTCCTACTTCTGACTTCTACTCATTACTTTTTCACACATGTATCTGTACTTCCTATTCCTTACATTTTTAAAACAAACGTTACTTGTTACTCTTGGCTTCAGTTCAATGTTTATATTTATTTCATGTCATGTGCGCCATCCAATGCAGATCATTGGCATGGTCCACATCTAGTGAAAACTAGCGTCATTGGATAAGTCATATAACGCAAACACTCTCTTTACCAATCATCCTGAACGGATCACAAAATCATACAATATGTTGACTGGTCTCTCAGATCATAACATGGTGCTGATAACAAGAAAGTTAACCAGACAGCGATTCTCAGCCTATTCCGGAAAGAAGGAGTTCATTGGCATTCCAAGGAANTTCCAAAAATAAAAAGGCAACGAAATCCTGAGCTTGTTCATGATGCACATTTGTTATAGGTAAGCTTTAAATTTGTAGAGTTAGTTTTTCTTTAATTTCGTTTAGTTTATACTAGTTGCTCTATACTATAGTAAACAATAAAGCTAAAAAAAATAAATAACATTTTCACCTATGTTTCATTATACCAAATTATGCAATAATCCGAGGTGTCAAGTAACAAAGGACAAATACTCCATTACTGTACTTGAGTACACTTTTTAGGTATCTATACTTTACTCCCTTACTTAATTTTTCTTCCTACTTCTGACTTCTACTCATTACATTTTCACACAAGTATCTGTACTTTCTATTCTTTACATTTTTAAAACAAAACGTTACTCGTTGCTCTTGGCTTCAGTTCAATGTTTATAAATATTTATTTCATGTCATGTGCACCATCCAATGCAGATCATTAACACCATCCACATCTAGTGAAAACTAGTGTAATTGGATGAGTCATATAACGCAAACACTCAGTGGTTACCTACACGAAATCATTAGAAGCAAGCAACTGTTCTTCAAACTGTAAAAGTGAATTGTCTATGCCAGGGGTGCTCAAGTCCAGTCCTCAAGAGCTGCCATCCTATAACTTTTAGATGCATCTCTTCTCTATCACAGCTGAATCTAAAGCCTCAATCCCCTCATTTAGCTCAGCAGAGGCAAGGTAATGAGCCACTCTTTGATTCAGGTGTGTTAAAAATGGTTGCATCAAAAAGTTGCAGTATAGTAGCTCTTTGAAACACCTATTATCAACCAAGAACACCACTGTCTGTCCAGGTCTAGAAGAGCTTTTTATTACTATCAGCTAAATGTTGAATAATCAGTTCTGGTTTTTTGGTGGAGGTATGTTGATTAAAACAATAAAGGAACAAAATTCCCAGATCGGCTTCAGTGCTTTATTCATTCAGTAATGAGAGAACAGCTCTACGTTACAAATGAAGCATTAAGGAAAAAGGAAAAAAGAGGGAGCAGTATTTAATGCATTGTTTCATATGAATGGGTTCCATTTACAACACTACTGAACTCAGCTCCCCCCGACTTTCATTACTGGATGAACTGATTAATCGAGGTGTGCCTGACCTCAGTAACCATGGCCAGACACACCTGAATTAATCAGTTCGTCCAGTAGAGAAAGACGGAAAACAAACAAGTTTCCTTAAATTCAGTAAGTAGTGGCGTTGGGCATAGAGCCCATTTATCCATTAGCTCTGGGCTAATGGGCTCTATGCCCAACTCCACTACTGACCTCAGTAACCATGACGACATGGGCAAGACACACCTGGAACAGTTTGTTCCATAATGAATGACAGGAAACTGAGGTGCTGGCTGGAGTTCAGGAAGTAGTGAAGTTGGGCATATAGCCCATTATTTCTGCTTTATTTAGAAAGGTTATGATTCTGGGATTCTACCATTTAAGGGGTAGGGGCAGGGGTCCTCAACGTTTTCCAGGCCAAGGACCCCCAAACTGATGGAGAGATGGAGTGGGGACCCCCTAATTATATATTTTGGATGAAATTGTGTTATATCAAACTGGTTCTATAGTCACTCTAATACATATGGAGTCATGTAACAAAAGTAATTTCTCCCGGGGATTATTAAAAGATTTCTGATTCTGATGCCTGGTTGATGGGACAGGTGTTGTGAATGAAACGGTGCCCAGATTGAAAGAGCTCCTGTGTGTGGCTGAATGTGTGCATTGATGACTGAAAGACATCATCTGCCTCCATTTATCTGTTTACTACAGTGTGCTGAATTCATGTTAATGTGGATTTAAAGACATTTCAATTAGTGGAAAAATTTGCAGGGGGAATATAAAAAAAAATAAAAAGTCCAATCAACCAAAACTTTCATGACCCCCATGCAGTACCTCTGTGGACCCCTCTGTTGAAGACCTTTGGTTAAGGTACTGACCTGCTGTATTCCCAGACAGAGGTAGAGGATGCTGTCTGGAGAGTAGCGCTCCCCGTTGGGCCTGCAGGCCTCCCGGACAAATCGGGACAGTGCAACATTCAGCTCCGCTGCTTTTAACGTCAACAGGTTACTTTTCGACCGTGCTGCAAGAGAGGAAAACAAACAGAAGACAAACAAACTTAAGCTTTAGGGAGGGAGACATATCGAACATGTAATCAAAGTAATGGCAAACCTCAACAGCTTTCCAGCTCACTGAGTGTTAATGTATCAGGGGACGGAGAGGGATGGGTGGCAATGAGTAAAAGCTGCAGCATAAGTGAGTTAACTTATGTTCTGATAATATCATTTAAGTCAATAAATGACTTTATTATTGTGAGATGAATCTGAGGTAATACCCCGCGCTGTGTGGTGAAACAGACTGGATTCATTTCAGTTTCATAATAAAAACATTATGAATGTTATTTCAGCAGATTTAAAGCTGTTATTCCATTTAAAAATTTGGACTTTTCCATAATCATTTTTTTTTATGGTCTGGACAAGAATGTTTATAAATCAGGCAACATAAAAACACTAAAGAAATAATCAGATATTTTCAGATTGAGCTGCATCAAGGAGAATTTCACCTTTTTTTTTAGTATCTCCATCAGTTTAGATCAGCGTTGTTTCTAAATCTGAAAAACCTGGGCTGAATTTTTCATCTTTTTGTTTCATTCAAATATCAAACTGTGATCTTAGATATCTCTAATTATTAAAAATAATAAAGTACGAGTTTGTTAGGTTTCCAAAGGAAATCCAGCACAGGGTTCCTACAGCATAAGGCAAGTTAAATTCGAGACTTTTTAAGACTTTTTAATGCCACTTGAAATAAAAATTTAAGACCAAATTCAAAAGAAACACAAGAAAAACCTGCTTGCGACAACTTAACCCAAGGGTTTATTTTAACATAAACCACTGCATTAATGTTTCAAATTTTGAAAAAACTTCCCATACAGGAAGAAAGCTAAAAACACACAAATGAAAGATATATTTTAACAATTATTTAACTGAATTCACAAACTTTGTTTTAGCAAGGAACAAAACAAATCAGTTTTAAAGCCACAACATAACCAGTGCTAAGTCTTTTTTTCAGCCATTTTTCTTTGTATCGTTTTCTTAGTATGTTTGATTTGGTGATAAGTGGAGGCATTGCAGAAACAAGGGTGGAACAAAACCGAGAAATACCGGCTGTTTCTCTGTAACTCGATTTGGACGCTTTGTGTTTCGTGCTTCGCATGCAAGACTCCACTGCCTTAATTCCCATCGTTCCGAGCTTGAATCGCTTCTTGCACAAAATCCACTGTGCCTCATATTTGTTCCCTGGTTTTAGCCATGGAGAAAACTCTTGGCTGGAGCCAATTTTCTTTACATTTACACTTGCTCATATTTTCCAGACAAAAAGTTAATGGTGCATCTCCCAAATGTCCCAGCCGCAACAACGCTTTCATTGGTTCCGCTATCGGGACGGAACCAATAATGGCGAGTCATTATTATTATTTTTTTTTATTTAAAAAAATTTATTAATGTCAATTTTAACGTTTTACTTAGATTACAAAAATAAATCGTATTAAAAATAATCCTTTTTATGATGTTTTAAAAATTAAGACCTACGAAAGACTGATTTAAGACATTTTTAATTAAGATCAAAATAAAATTAAGGCCTTAATTTTATTTTGAAGAATTCAATGCCTTTTAAGACTTTTTAAGGACCCGCGGGAACCCTGCAGCATAAGAACCAAATTTTCAGGGTTATTTTGTCCGAGATTCAGTTCTTATCTTTAAGTTAATGGAATATGGAGTGAATAATTTGTCAAATTTCTCTTACTCTTATTCTTTATTCCAACCTTAACAGGAGAGATGGACCCATACGTCAGCCGGACGATACATTTTGCCGATATTAACTTTTTTTCTCCTTACGGCATCCCATTCTGATTCACACACATATATTCATGTGTGTGAATCAGAATGGGAATGACTATTAGTTCCTTGCGGGAAATTCTTTTTTTTTTTTTGCAGTGCAACCGTTTACAAAAGAGAGAAAAATAAGATTTTTTGTACAACAGAGCAAAATATAATATAATATAATAAGACGGAATGGAGTAAATTTACACCCCTCCCCTATAAACAGTGTATTGCAACCCTTCCCATATAAACAGTGTAAAATAAGTGCATCCTAAAGACAAAACCCAAGACCTAATATGAGCGGAGTGGTGTATGCAATTCAGTGCAGTGAGGAATGCTCTGATCTTTATATTGGGGAAACCAAACAACCTCTCCACAGACAAGCTACCTCCTTCGGACAAGACTCTGCTGCACATCTACACCTAATGGACAAAGGACACTGGTTGGAGGACCAGAATGTTCAAATTTTGGACAAAGAAGACAGGTGATTTGAAAGGGGGGTCAAAGAAGCCATTTATGTTAAGAAAAATCAACATAAAAACAGAGGGGGTGGATTCAGGTTCCAGCTTTCAAAAATCTACAGTGCAGAGAGAGTTGATTGCTTCCCGCTATCATCACATCTGCCCACCCCCATACAAGATATCAAAACATCTTGGTTAATCAACTAGGCCAATAATGACCCATAACAACCCCCTTTTCAGAGCCATATACCAGAATCAGGTATTGCAGGCTAACAAAGAACCCAAACGACTCCCTATTTCTAAGAGGCGGACCCCTTCCTCAGGTTCCGTACTCATACTTTTCTAAGCCAAATCAAGGCTTTGTTTGGGGCTCATCTATAAAGTTTTGAATTCTGACATTTTGAATTGAAGTTTTCTGGATGGGAAGCGAAACATCTTCAAACTTGGAAACAAAGTCCAGCGGATTGTTTTTTTTTTTTACTTTTTTGGAAGGAAATCTATGCAGGAATTAAAATGGCCGGGCATTTAGCTTACTTGGTTTGGAGGTATCTTTTTCTTTGGCGTCTTCTGATTGGTCAGAGAGGGACAGCGCCCAGCGTTTCCAGGCATTGATGCCGTAGCGGGATTTGAGCGGCAGCGATCTGCCTGCTAAGTTGCTACTTGAATGTGATGGAGAGGATGAGCGCAAATCTTCCAGGGCCCTCCTTTTACTTCCCTGTAACAGAAGAAGAATCAAGCAGAGCTGACCCCTAGAATAACCCTGTTATATGTATATGTCCATGTCTACATACCATTTTTCTGGGTTGTGGTCGAGGTACGGATTCCTGGAGGTCCTCCTTCTCCTCTGCTAGGACTGGAGGCAAAGAAAAGCCCATATCCTCATCCATTCCTTCCAGCGCTGGAACAGGTTCTGATGCTGAGAAAGATCGATACACAGTGAAATGTTCATTAGTTTGTTTAAAAATCATTTTAATGTATGCAGAAACTAATTGGGTAGTTCTCAGGAGATATGTTTATTTCAGAAATTCCCACATTTGTGTGTGCATACACTCCTGAATGATGCTGAATGGTAAAGCCTAATCCTTCCCCACCTACTGCAGACATCAGCAAATGGATGGAAATAAATCTTTGTTATGAAAAACCTAAATCAGGATCAAAGCTGTGCTCAGTTTCACAAAGCAGGTTTAACAAACGGACTCAAATCCTCAACTCTGACTTGATCGAGCCTGAGAAACAAAATTTTCGATTTCATAACAGCTGCTGTGAGTTAGTTCATTCGACTCAGAGTAGGTCCACTCAGAGGTAAGCACGTGCTTCACTAGTATAAAAAAGCTATGTTCAGTGAAGCCCATATTCGTCAAGTCACCATGACAACAGGCAACAGGAAGTGCCAAGTTAAGCCCACTGGAACTAGAGACTTTAATGCAAAAATGAAAAAAAAAAATTAATGGAGAATGTGTGTTAAAGAACGAGCAGCAGCACTACAGCTGCAGAGGAGAGGAAGATGGTGAAGGAGAAAATTGCTGCTTAAGTTAATGCATAAGCTTATATGAAGCCTAATATGGCAGGCCGATTTGACATTTGTTAAAGGTACTCTCCTCCATCTTTAGATCACTTAAAAAAGATTTTTTTCTGGTCAAAATAACATTCCAAGTCAGAACCAGAGGTGGATAGTAATTAGTTACATTTACTCGGGTAACTCAAAAAAATATATATTTTAGGAGTAGTTTTACGAGATTGTACTTTTTACTTTTACTTTAGTACAATTCCTGTTAACTACATCCATTGTCAGTAATTTCACAGAATAAAAACAAGATTATTCTAAACAAATACACACCATTAAGACACACTTTCTTGTTTTTTGTATTCAAGACTTTTTGGTTAATAGATTTTATTTGTTGATTTTTGTAAGTTTTATAACTCAAAAAATATCAAATCAGTTGTTAAGATCATGGGTAGTAAGTTTACGAGTTGCTTAGTACTTTAGTAATCTAGTAGCTTTTACCAGAGTAAAACTATAAAGAAGTATGGCTACTCTTAAGTACCATTTCTGGGTACTCTACCTACTTCTTGGCAGAACTGTAATAATAGAGTTTGTAAATTACAGTTTTGCCAGCAGAAACTTAAATTTCATAAAGTATAAAAACAAAAAAAAAATTGAACTAAAAAGAATTATATGTTATATACCTAATGTTTATGCACTTTAAGGGGTTGTTTTAATATTTAGCAGCTTGACCAAATATGTATATTTAATATCTAAAATACATAAATAATATAAATGGTAAATGGAATGTACTTATATAGCGCCTTTATTCAAGTTAGGAGACTTGACCAAAGCGCTTTACACTACATTCATTCACCCATTCACGCACACACTCACACACTGATGGTGGCAAGCTACATTGTAGCCACAGCTGCCCTGGGGCTCACTGACAGAAGCGGGGCTGCCGTACACTGGCGCCACCGGGCCCTCTGACCACCATCAGTAGACAATGCAGGTGAAGTGTCTTGCCCAAGGACACAACGACACTGAAAGTCGGAGTCGGGGCTTGAACCGTCAACCCTTCGATTTCAGGGCAAACTCCTACATCCAACACCACTGTCGCCCCGATATATATAAGTCATGATCAGGAATAAGGGGATCTGAAATTCCTTTCTCGACATCCAGGGTCTATTTTTGAGATGTAGGATGTCATTTGTTTGAAATTTTCAAAAAAAAATTGTTTTAACAGGTAGGACCTGTGCATCATCTCACAGGGTTATTCCTCATTTTGATCCTATTTCATATTACACAGTAAATACTAAGTGGCTCTTTGACTGTGCAGTTACTTTCTATAATGCCGTTATCACACGTCAATGTTCTCACATAAAGTTCTGTTTATTCCTGTTAAAGAAGTCAAGGCTCCTAAATGTGAGAAAATAACATCATGGATATTCATGATGGATTGTGAGGTGAAATTGTAGCGCTCATAATAATTTCTAAATATAAAGGACAGTTTGAGAACCCTCTGCTAGCCTGTGTATGTTTTTATTTAACTTATTTATAAGTTCAGTACATTTCCAAGTTAACTACTGTGTAGTTTTCTCTTAGCTCTACTGTGCAGATGTTTTTATATTTAAATATTCCAGGACATTAAAACTTTTTTTTTGTTTTGCTTTTTTGTACTATATATAATCTTTTTATATTGTCTGTTGTATTTTTATCTTTAATAGAATCTTGCTTTACTTCTTTGTACTCAAAAAAAGCTACTAGAACCAGAATTTCCCTGAGGGAGTAATCCCAAGGGATTAATAAAGTTGAGTGTAAATCTAATGATTTTCTTTTATTGTTAGCAGAAACTGAGGTTAAGTAAACTCTCGTTCTGAAATGGAAAACTTTTGTGTTTCCCTGATTTCAGGTTTGGTAAACTTAGTCTTCAATAAACCTGAATTGTGAAATGGATAACTTGTTTAAAATTCAGGTAGAAAAAAATATTCTTATTGATTGACGCTCAGCGTCCAACTGCAAAACTTTAGATTTTCAAACTCTAGCTCTCGTCGGTCTTGATGCGTGAAGCCAAAAGTACAGCATGAAATGCAGGGAAAGCTTTAAAACACGCCGCAAGACATAACGACGCCCCTTGAGGAATGCCCACCCCGGACTTCGCATGTAAACCTGATGCTCTTCGGCCTGAACGCAGTATTGGCATTATACACCACCCAGCTTTGCAGCAAGACATACAGAGGCTGACAGTCTCCGTTTTTCAAAATAAATTACATTTTCACATTTCATAAGATTTAAATATATTTTAAACTCTGATTACGATTAAAATAGGTGTAAAAAGATAATTCTATATGTACTTCACATTGTTTTAAATTTTTTTTATTCATGCTGAAGGTGTAGCGATGCGATATGATAAACTACATGCAATAGAAACTCAGGAAGCCCAGACATCCCTGTGTTCTCTCAGAGGAGCCTCTATGTTCAGGAACTCGGACAGAACATTTCTCCAAACATTGACATTTCCAGAACTTAAGAAAAGGTTCATCTTTCTCTCATCAGTAAATAAAACTATGTGCCATAGCATTTAAAAACATCTCTGGACTTTGAGATTTTCTAATCTTGTTGCTAAGGACTTGTGACTACGTCTCGGTGGTTTAGCCTAGAGCTGGACATTTCCCAAAACTTGTATCATGATATATTCCTTAATTTCTGTCATCAATACTAACAAAGAACAAGAACAGCAGCAACAACAATAAGGCAACCATTTTATCCAGATTCTCAATATAAATAATATTTATCTTGTTTTGGTATCATCTGGAGGCTGTAGGTCTTTCCAGGATCTTTTTCCTGTTACCCCTTTCTAGGTTCTACTTGTTTAACGTCTGTTATGTTGAGCCTCAGCAACATCTTCCTCTTTATCTTACCCCCAGTCAGTGTAATTATCTTTGTGGTATTAATGTGGTTTGTGCAATTGCTCTGATTGACGTCCTGTTTTTCCCCTAATGTCGGATTTCATCCGTGAAATGCTCTCTGGTTTACATGTTGGTTACACCTCTGAAACCAAAACCCAGAAATATTCAGCTATTATCGAGAGTAATTAGACACACCTAGGCAACAACAAAACCTATCAGACACCCCAGATTTGATTTATGAATAACGCTACCATGGTGTCTCTTCTCTCAAAATCATTTTATGACCTGCAATAAAAAAAAAACAAATTCAACCTGTGAAATGGTCGGCTAAAACAACCTGTGAGCTATGAGGGACTAAATGCCCAAGATAATCCGATAAATGTCCAGTGACGCACCAAGAAAGGTTTTCAAATGCAATTGTGAAGCTCGATGATGATGATATACCCCCGCTAGCAACTTCCCAAATCCCTCGACAGAAAAACCAACACTTAAAATGAGCCTCCACGGTGCTGATAGAAAACGCAGAGGAAGAAATATTTATCAGATTTGTTGTACTGAACCATCAGGAAAAATAAAACAAATCAAAAAACAACACAGACTGAGATGGCGCCAGATAAAAGTTGTATTAAGTGACAAACGCCGACTGGGAGAAGATCATAAAGGGCCTCGGAGACAAAGTGACTTCATTCTTGGCAGCATCCATCTGTGTTCTTCACAACTAAATCAGAAATGAGTTCAAGTTTCTGTTCTTCCACAGCAGATGAGTTAAATATAAAAACTGACCACAATGAGGATGGATCCCTGCAGGGTGAAGAGGCCATCACCACAACACCAACGTCACAGAGATGCTAACAGTGTGGTACTTGGGTAGGAACGTTTTCACCATAACTTCGTTCTACACCCACAATGTCACAGGCTGAACGGTAAATAGTTTGACTTATAAAGTCAGCAGGAGTTTCCACTTTTAATCCAGGGTGTTAAAAATAAAAAATAAATGTAAATCGCTTTATCGTCCCACAATGGTGAAATTTATTCTGCATTTAACCCATCCCCTTGGGGCTGCCATTGATGTGCCGCCCAGGGAGCAGTGTGGAATTAAGGGTTTTGCTCAGGGACCCAGAATACAGGCTGTTGGGATTGAACTGGGTACTTGCAACCTTCTCAGAGTAAAAGTGCACTGCTCTAACCACTCTCACAACACTCCCAGAACACTTAGGCTACGTTTACACTGCAGGCTTTGATGCTTAATTCCAATTTTTTCTCGTTGCCGTTCACATTTGCAAATATATACGACTTGTATGTGATCTCCTGTGTGAACTGCAGTCATACAACGCAAGTGTCCCGCATGCGCAGTAGAGGACGCAATGACTTCACAGGCCAGCGTGCTCTATGTTTACGGAAGAACATGGATGGTAGTGCTGGAGCACATCTAGCGATCTTTCCCAAACCATAAAAACACTTTTCAAGATAGTTAAACATAAATACTGCTCTCCGCATCATCGTCTGCCATGGTTGCTGTTTTTCTTGCCTCTTCTTCATAGCAAGACCCAGAATAGTAACCTTTGTTATTAATGCTGTTCAGGTCGGATGAATGCGACCTGGCCGCTCAGACATAGGTTGCATTTGAAAAGATCAGATTCATATCAGATTCAGGAACACATAGCCAAGTGGCCTGGGTCGCATTGGAAAAAAATCGGATCTGTGTTGTTCAGACGGTCATGAAAAGATCAGATCCAGGTTGCATATGGGCCAAAAAAACCGGAATTAGGTCACTTCAGGCTGCAGTGTGAACGAAGTCTTTCAGAGTTCTGTTAAATCTGAAAAGCATGGCAGGCTATTGTATTTAGTCCCTTTACTCTCAAGGCCCTATATGAAATGCAGTGAACCCAGAATGCTTTCTAACAGCAGCTGGACCAGCAGCACTGTTTGTACTACTTTGATTAAGAAAACAATACAGGAACATCAAACCCAGAATAAAAAGGCTTAAAAAACGTTCCATTTCTTTTAATTTTCAACCCTTTCTATGGCCCACAAAGAGACCATTAGCCTACTTCTACTTTACGTACACACTTCATTTATATCACAGGTAGGTAGAGTAACCAAAAAAAGTACTTAAAGGTATAGAGGACGATCTTTTATTTTTGGGTGGATCATCTAAATAAGTTGTCCTGCTAATTGTCAATCATTCTGGTTATATGTTTACGTAAGGCCGGCCTACGTGCTTGTCCCGTTAGTTGTCTTTTTCTGCACATACGGACTTTCAGTCGTATTTGTGTGGTGAGCTACAAGACGGTCACTGAAGCTCATCTTTCTCACCGCGGTTCTGTGAAAATGGCCGAGGATCGTAAGAGAAAAAGTCTCTACGAAGTGTATGAGAAGAAAAGAAAGGCCTCAGAAGAGGCAGATATATCCCGCATTGCTTTGCAGGGAGGGTTCTCCTCGCAAAGCATTATGGGACTGACTGCGGTGACAGATAACAAAGATGGCGCAGGCCACACGCAGTGGAGGAGGAGTAACGTGACCAATGGAGCAAAAATTACTGATCATTAGTCCGAACGGTCAGTTAACTGAGTTTGCTATAAAATCAACTATATAGTCCCCGCTCTATATAGTGATTGAGGGATTTAGGGGTTAGGGAGGACATTCGGGCACAGTAAGCTTGTATGAGCTATGAGAACAGCAACAGAGCGTGCAGGAGGAGAACTCTAGCCTGACGTAGTCCGACTCAATTCTAGTCAGAATATGAGTCTGATACTGCTCCATAGAGCTGTGATTATGGGGCGTGTTTCGAACGAACCAG